TTATCCTACTCGTCACTATGACTATAATTTATGGTTAGAAGAATTCAATTTTGTGAGTCTGAGAAAAAGAAGAGAAATAGCAGATTTGATAGTCATCTATAAATTAATTAATTATTCTATAGATTCATCCTCTCTGCTGTCTCAATTTAATTTTCATATCCCACGTATTACGTGAAGGTCAAATATAACATTTCATATTCAAGGGCCAAATTCACAACATCACTTTCACGGTCCTTTAACTACAATGTGTAGAAGTGTCAATCAGTATTCTGTTGATATATTTTTTCTAAAATTTTACATATTTAGAGAGCAATGTTACAGATTGGTATCAAATTAGGTAATTAGAATGTAATTAAGTTAAGTAAGTATTCTCAAACTTTGTATTTTTAAATATTATATTATATACTCCTGTAATTGGGCTGATAAAGCTTGTTGTATGTAATAATAAATAAATAAATAAATAAATAAATTCTATTAATACCGTGAACCACACAGGTTACATGGATCGGGTGCTCATAAAAAATGTTTAAATTTTGTGTCACTTAAATCATATAAGGGGCAGCGTCCGACAATAAAAGTATAAATAGGACAAGATCTGGTTAGAAAATTAGTGAATCCTGTATATTTAAAGGTATATTTGCTGAAATCATTGCTTCGCATAAATCTTCGTTAAACACATTTGGTTGTTTTTCTGCAAACTTTGTTGAACACAATTTTTTAAAGTTTGCTGTGATCTTGCATCTTCTTGCAATTTTCGCAATGCAGTTATGTGTTTTGATGTTTTTACATGTTGATCCACGATTAACTTTTTGTCAGCGTGGATCTTAAACAACAGAGAAACGCAAGTTAAATGGTTTGCTTGTTAGGACATGCTATGAGAAATTAAATATATGTAACAATTTTTAAACAAGAAATATTTAGGCAACATAAATTAAATGGAAATTAAATTAGTATAAGGGTAGGTAAAGAGTATATGTATAAGAGGTACTTACAATTTTTGAGCACGCTGTGCAAAATACATTGCCGGCGTCTCATGATAACTCTGGATACACCTTTACCCACAATTGTTTAAATTTCAATTTTGGCCAAACAAGACACGAAATGAACTTCAGCTTTTCAATAGTTTAATATCTAAATTTCGTGTATACCTACTTATTTCCTCTACACAGAGCTGACAGGTTTATCAATCAAATTGTCAAATCAGCCGTAATGTTATCCTACGGGCCAGGTAAGATATGGGATTAATATCTAGGTAATAAAAATAAATTACCTCATTTAAATATTTTTTTTAAGAAATGGATTATAGCCACACGCTGACTTTACGACTGATACTTTACTTGGAAGTAAACCTTTGGGATTGAAATATTTCTGAATTTATGATAAAAAAAAAATTCCAAATGTGTAGAAAATTTGAAAAAAATTTTATATTTCTTAATTTGTGAAAAAAATGTAAAAAAATGCAAACTGCATTTTTTCCGGCACAAAAAAAAAATACCAGTCTACGCAAAGGATATAATTTTATATCTATTTTACTAAGTATATGGATAGGATGGATATAAAACCCACCAATTGCTAATTTTATATAATTAAGTGGCAATTTTGTCAAACTAATTGTCAATATATGGAATAAACCAATTTTAAGGCATGTATAACGAATGGTAAATATTTTAATCATATTAATATTTTGTTAATTAATACTGGGTCAAATAATATTTAATTCTGAGATACAGGGTGTTAAAATTTAATTTTTGTTATTTTTTTTTTCAATATTTTCATTACTATTTAAAGTATTAACTTGAAATTGGGAATAGTTATACTTTTGGGATAGTAAATCATAAGCATGTTATTAGTTTTGAGAATAGATAAAGGGGAACCACTTTCTACATTCTGCTGTAAGAAATAAATTAATAAATTTTATTAATTCTTGGCATTTCTAAATTTTTTTTAAGTCTTAATGGTACACCCTGTAAATTTAAACAAAAACGTAAACTTGCTTTAGTAACAAAAATTAATCTAATTTTCATTTAACATTTATTAGCTACAGTATATATTTAATTTGTTTTATAATATAGTTTAACGAAGTAAGCTTAAAAAAAAAATTCCAAAGATAAAAAAAATCAGTTTTCTTCATCCAGTAGAGCTTAGGTCTTAAAATTGATAACATGTTTATGATTTACTAACCTAAAAATATATTCATACCAAATTTCAGGTCAATGCGTTAACATTTTCGCTGCCCATGACGGTCATTAACGTAATAATAGTTCTTTCCCCCATGTCCATGATGCTTTATAACGTCATTTGAAGACGTATGCTTCGATGAATGTAGACAAGTTGCTATATACTGAATTGTCTTTATAACCCCATGTGAAAACGTTCTTAAATTAGTGCATTATGAATTTGGTTTTGATATTATGTTTGTGAATTTAACATAGCAAGGCTTTAACAAATTTGTTTGGGAATAGAATGCCAAACAAAATAAAAAAAGTAAAGAAATTAATTTATAAATTGGTGGTAACACACAGGCTGTATTTGAAAAAATTAAGAATATTGTAACCTCAAGTTTAGACACACCCTGTATGCATCAAAGCAAATAAATGAAAATGTTAAACATTTTTAGGAACGTTTAGTTTATTAAAATTAAAAATTGATGTGAAAACAACCGAATATGTATGGCGTAACTATCTACAGGGTGTTTAGTTTAAAAAACTATCTGTTTGGTTTTCCCCTCATTTATAAACTACAATGTATATTTAAGAATAATTGTAAAATATGGTCTTACAACTTTTATATTACATATTTCTTCACATCTCCAATAATAAAATATCAATCGATCAATTACCCACTGATAGGGCACCCTGTATGTATATGTATAATTAAAACACTCTATAAAATAAACTAATTATTTCAGCTTGGTTCTTATAAGTTGAAAAATATTCTAGTGATAAATACAGTAGTACCATGCCACTCTAAAACTGAAATAAAATGTGTACTTTCCAGGAATGTTTTTAAATTGTATGTTTTCAAATCCACATAACTTTTATTTAAAACATGTGTCTATTATACAAACTATAACGAGAGTTTACGTCTTTTTTCATCCTTGCAGACGTCCTTTTGAACATGGAGGTCTATATTCTTTTCTCTTTTTGTATTAATTTCCGTTTATTTACCATTCTTTATGAAACACCTTGTATAGAGCAATTTTTTGTGTAAATTTGTTTCCAGCATTTGGGGAATTGGATGCATGAAAAACGACGGTCGCCTGGACGCGGGAATGCCGGTAGTTTAGTCTGACACATGTTTTGCCGGCACTTCAAATAGTATTTACATGTATTGTGCCAGTGTTGGGCCATTAACATGTGTTTGCTGGGTAACTAACTGTTAAAACATTAACCAAGCCAGCACTTAGAAATAGGTCAAGGGTGGAGCATAGGTATCTACCCTTGCATTACTAATTTTTTCGTCTTTTTGATTAAATTTTTACTTGCAACAAGTTGCGACTTTGCAGAATTTGTAGTTTATTCATCAGCCATTGTTTTATTTTTCTATTTAATTTTATGATTATAATTAAACTCATTATATTAATTAAAATTTGAATCTTGTTAAATACGTTCCTGATATCATTCAGTAATCCCGGTTCGGAATTCTGAGGATCTAGCTGGGCGTTGCAATAGAAACGACAAAAGAATCAGTTCTGGCTTCGACGAACGTTCGGACAATGTGGTCCAAAAACGGCCCAAGGTTACTATCATCCCAAAATAACACCTTTTTTAATTTTACGTGTATTTTCGAAGAAGCGCAAGCGGTCGTGTAGGTGGGCGACAGGTTATACCAATTTATTTATTATTTCTTTGAATGGAATGGTCGTCGGCTCGAACGGGAGGCCTCTTTTGTGGTCTTCTTTCGATAGCGTTCAGGTAATTTTGTCAACAGAGGCGTCCTCACACCTATTTTAGATCAAGATATTTACGATTATGGGGTAATAAATATCAATGACACTTTTCTTATCGATAATCTCTTTATAATTAATGAATTGGGGGTTTAGAACTTGAGATTTGTTAATATAGATAATAATAATGATATAACGAACCATAACAACGTATCGGAATTTTTAATACTAATAATTTCTATATAATATAAAAACAATCAATAATAATATTTTTTTTAAACACGAAAACATGCAATTAGTTCATTTATTTAGACATTTAGAAGAAAATTTTGAACAAAAAACCAATATTGATGAATATTCCCGCGAAGAATCGCTCTATAGAATATATACACATTGTTACAACGTTGGAAAATTTTATACCTGAAAAGCAAATACTTTTAAACATTTATTTCTTCTGATAAGGCCGGTCGCATACTTATACGATATTTGTTTTCGACATGTTGACGACATGATGCAAACACGTCGCTTTATTCAAATATAGAAAACAAACTTTTATATTTCGCACATCAATACATCATGTCGTCGGATGAAGCTGCAGCAGTACTGTTGCTAATAATATTGCGAAGGAGAAAGAAAAAAAAAGCTCAAAACTATTGGGTTCATCCATATAGTACAGCCAATCTTTATCGAAGTATATTTGAAAGCTGTACTAGTGAAGAAATGATTAAAGATCCAGCAAACTTTAAATCTTTATATAGAATGTCTCAAGAGACATTTACAATACTTTTGAGCAAAGTTGGACCTTTTATTAAGAAACTGGATACCAAATTTCGGGAAGCTATAACGCCAAAGGAAAAATTAATCATTACATTGAGGTAAGTTAATCAAGTTATTATTATTATATGTATTAGATAGTTTCCAATAAGTCATAATCATTTGTACTTGGAGATGCTAAGGGTGTGCTTATGTGACTTTAAGAGTACATACGAGTAGATCGTGGTTAAGAGTTGTTTGACAGTACTGAATGGGGGCGAAATGTGCTGCTGCTTGAAGTATAATGCATATCTTGCGTATTTGAGGAAAAAATATTATTTGTTGGTGATCTGTAAAATATTTAACCGATATTTTGTATAGTTTTCCATTTGAACTCATGTTTTTGGGCTTTTGTCATTTGACGCAGATCAGGCAAGATACTTTTAAGAAATAGCAAGTCAGCAACTTCTGTTGTTTCCGATTGGCATCGTTTATTAGAAGTAAAGTAATCAACGACACATTTCTCCAGTGGATTGCCTTCCTTGCGTTTTGTAGTAGAAACCTTATTGCGAGTTTTGGGAGCTAACAAGGATTCATTTGTAGCGGATTCTTCAACTACATCATTATTTTCAGAATTTTCATGCTGCAGTTTGAATTCAGAAGGCTTTGTTTCGGGAACTTCTTCGTGAATCGAAGAAGATATTTCTTCATTTGTGTTTATGGGAGATGGCATACTACCTTTTTGTTGTCTAGATTTAGTAAACGGTGTGAGAAAAGCTAAATAGTCTGCTAAATAATATTTTTTCTTTGCCTGTGCTGGTGCTCCACTTGGTGGTTTTTGCCTCAAATATCGTGTGTAAGCAGATCATACATTTTCCATTTTTCCTTACATGCAGCACCTGAAAATAAACGTTTTTTTAGATACTTGGCAACGGGAATGAGTTTCAAGCAATTATCTTTCCAATTTATGAGAGGACAATTAGTGAAAGAAGTTTGCGACAACATTTGATCGAAGTCAAGAAAAATATATGCCAGTTCCAAGTGAATTACAATGGATTGAAAAAGCTGAACGCTTTGAGAAACTTAATTTACCTAATTGTATTGGTAGTATTGACGGTAAACATATTAAAATCAATAGCCCAAGGAAATCTGGATCTGCCTTTTATGATTATAAAAATTATTTTTCATTACAAATATTGGCTATAGCGGATGCAGAAACGGTGATGGTGCAGTGTTTAGAAATTCAAGTATTGGAGGAAACATTAAAGCAGGTACACTTAATATTCCACCACCGCATCCTTTGCTCAAAGAACCACATAAACCGGCCTTCCCTTACTATTTGGTCGGAGATGCTGCCTTTTCATTTTTTAAAAATTTATGAAAGCCCTATCCGTCAAGGAACTTAACAAATCCAAAAAGAATCTTTAACTATCGATTGTCACGAGCTCGTCGAAGTGTTGAATGTGCGTTTGGCATAATGGTGTAAAAATTTAAAAAACTGGAAAGACCAGTTCTATGCTCACCCAATAAAGTCAATAAAATTGTAAAGGCAATTTGTGTATTAGACAATTTTGTGAGAAGAAAAGATGGAAAAATGTCAGAACCAACTTTTGCGACGGACGAGTTATTACATAATAATAATGATAACATACAACAAGTACTACCCAATTTTCACCCTCAAAGTCAGCGAGGCACAGATGAGGCGATAGTATTGCGAGATAAATTATGTTCGTATGTAAATCAGCCCTATGCGCATTACCTTGGCAGTCCAAATATTGTGCTTAATATAATAATTAATCAAAAACGTACCTGTTTCATTTACTTCTTTTCCAACCTCGTTCCATGTTTTTTTCCTGCACTTGTCTATTCGAATAATTTTCCATATTATGGTCGTATGAAACATTGTATTTTTTTACGATTTTCACAAATTTTATATTAAATGTTGGATTATCTTCCATTGTGCATGTATTTAGTTGCAGCGGTTGACGACAAATGACGCCTGAATTGGAGCAAGCCGTGTCGTACAAAAATTGTAAGCGACAAGTCTCATTATGTCTGCAGCATATCTGCTTGATGTATGAATCGTCATTAATAATCCCTGTGTTGTAAATGGAGCGAAACGTCTGCGACATGTCGAATACAAATATCGTATAAGTATGCGACCGGCCTAAAGCGTAGATAGTTTCAGTGGTTTGTGTTTTTACTTTCCTATTTGCATATACATAAGGAAAGTATGTCGTGTGTCGTGTGTCGTGTGTCGCGTGTCGCGTGTCGCGTGTCGCGTGTCGTGTGTCGTGTGTCGTGTGTCGTGTGTCGTGTGTCGTGTGTCGTGTGTCGTGTGTCGTGTGTCGTGTGTCGTGTGTCGTGTGTCGTGTGTCGTGTGTCGTGTGTCGTGTGTCGTGTGTCGTGTGTCGTGTGTCGTGTGTCGTGTGTCGTGTGTCGTGTGTCGTGTGTCGTGTGTCGTGTGTCGTGTGTCGTGTGTCGTGTGTCGTGTGTCGTGTGTCGTGTGTCGTGTGTAGTGTGTCGTGTGTCGTGTGTCGTGTGTCGTGTGTCGTGTGTCGTGTGTCGTGTGTCGTGTGTCGTGTGTCGTGTGTCGTGTGTCGTGTGTCGTGTGTCGTGTGTCGTGTGTCGTGTGTCGTGTGTCGTGTGTCGTGTGTCGTGTGTCGTGTGTCGTGTGTGTCGTGTGTCGTGTGTCGTGTGTCGTGTGTCGTGTGTCGTGTGTCGTGTGTCGTGTGTCGTGTGTCGTGTGTCGTATGTCGTGTGTCGTGTGTCGTGTGTCGTGTGTCGTGTGTCGTGTGTCGTGTGTCGTGTGTCGTGTGTCGTGTGTCGTGTGTCGTGTGTCGTGTGTCGTGTGTCGTGTGTCGTGTGTCGTGTGTCGTGTGTCGTGTGTCGTGTGTCGTGTGTCGTGTGTCGTGTGTCGTGTGTCGTGTGTCGTGTGTCGTGTGTCGTGTGTCGTGTGTCGTGTGTCGTGTGTCGTGTGTCGTGTGTCGTGTGTCGTGTGTCGTGTGTCGTGTGTCGTGTGTCGTGTGTCGTGTGTCGTGTGTCGTGTGTCGTGTGTCGTGTGTCGTGTGTCGTGTGTCGTGTGTCGTGTGTCGTGTGTCGTGTGTCGTGTGTCGTGTGTCGTGTGTCGTGTGTCGTGTGTCGTGTGTCGTGTGTCGTGTGTCGTGTGTCGTGTGTCGTGTGTCGTGTGTCGTGTGTCGTGTGTCGTGTGTCGTGTGTCGTGTGTCGTGTGTCGTGTGTCGTGAGTCGTGGGTCGTGCGATGCGCCGTGCGTTGTGTGTCGTATATTTTATAAGATATATCTGTTATTTACGTTTGGAGAAGAACATTCTTCAAATAAAAGTTACTTACTGTAATATTCTCTATAATTTTTAAATTATACAAAATTTTCCTAAAAGGGTCCGTATTCGGAAAATTTTTCAAAATGTAAAAATTCAGATTTTTAAAAAAATTGTTGAACTGAAAGATGTTAAGACGTATTTTTTATTTTTGTTGATTGCGCTTAAATTTGTATTTTTTTAACGTTAGAAATCTGCACAATTTTTTAAATATTGAAGTTCATGTTTCATAAATAAAAATCAAAATCAATATAGTAGGATAAAGTATGATAGGCTATACAGCACAGCCAAACACATTTAATTATATATGCGCTAATTCCGACTGGTGGAGTACCTTATCAAACTCATATGATCTTTTTAAACTCTTCTATGATACGATTTATAATTTTTTGATTTTGTTTTTTCTAAAAAAATTTAAATTAAAATTAAAAGATAATATATGAGGTAACTTCATTATTTAGAAAAATATTTTTAAGGTAACTAATTAATTTATAAACTATTATTAAAATTATATAGAAGTTTATTCATATTCTCAAAAGACACTCATTATAAATTAAAATTATACGTTAGACACCAACAGTGAACTTTCACTCTCGGAAAAAAAAGTGGCCTAGCTATTTATTTTGCTAATGCAGCGGACTTCGGTTTAGAATCAATCTTTAAAATCACTATTAACAAAAGAACCATGGATGTCGAATTACCGCGATTCTATTTGATTTAAATAATAAAAAAAAAAAAACAGAAAGAAATAAAAAAAATATTTAAAAAAGGAAAAGTAGGGCGCCATCTGTTAATAGTGGATTGTTTCGTTAGTCTCCAAGGATTTCCAGTATACCCTTGCAATTAAAAATGTTATTCAACCTTAAAAAAAAACAATTTGCGGTATCTCTACGTTCAGTGTTAAAGTTTATTTCCAAATAATTATACAGGGATTTCATTTCAAAACTAGCCACCCAAAATAACTTTTAAAATATCTTTAAAACAAAAAAACACGTTTGGGACACATTTTACAAGTATCTATAACCGTGCAATTTCATCCCCTAAGCGGTGGTGAATATCACTTCTAAAATTTTAAATAGAAAGGGGTATCATGTGATAGCTCTTCTTAAACCCATTAACGCTCACTATTTTTTTAATCGAGAATATTTTGTTTCATCGATTTTTTTTAATAATTTAGGCTTCCTGAACATCTAAAAAATAGTAAAAAAAATCTAGGCTGTCATATGACAGATTTATAGCATGGGTCGTTTACGACCCACTGAGCACATAGCATATAGGTAGGTAGTAATAAGGTAAGTATTTGAAGTAAAATATCTTTTATTCAAAAATTCAAAATACAAAAATACAAAAAACACAAAAAAAAAACAAAAAATACAAAATAATATTCAAAATACAATATTATTTATGATATATTGCAAAACATTTGTCATGAAGTGCAACTTCGCAAGTAGAACATCCCTTTATAGTTTTATTTTTACAAACAACGCACCTTCTTCTGGGCAAATCAGTTAAAATTATATGACTGGCGTTTATTCGGGCTGGTAATGGATAACTTCTAGTTGAAGTTGGCCCAGATCTTAGAGGTGCAGTTCCATATTTAGCCAGAAGTGCATTGACCACTTCTCTTCTGAAAGACAAGTTGTCAAGGGATAATCCACAACTTCTTGCCACATGCCAGGCATTATTCATTGCCACATCGAATAGCCACAGAATAATGGGCATATACCATTTTTTACCACGCATGGATATTTTATAATTAGATATATTGTTGTCCATTTGGTCCACACCACCCATATTCCTATTATATAAGGAGATAACGTTGGGTTGAGGAATATTTATTTTTGCCTTGTCCTTCGCAGAGTATCGCGAGGCTTTCTGGACGGGGTTTGCTCCGAACTGGTTTGAGAGTAATGTAACATTACTGTTATCTTTCCATCGTACGGCAACAATGTTATGATTTGGATCAAGCTTGGTGTCATAAGATCCTCTATCTTTTTTTTTGTAAAATGCATCATCAGGTAATCCGCAATTTTCTGTACGATTTTGTCGTACGGTGCCTGTTGCTGCAAACCCTTTTTCTCCCAACGAAGTAACAAGTTTAGCAGACGTAAAGAAATTATCAAAATAGAGCGAAAATTGGATACCATCATAATGCTCCTTCAAAATATCTGCAAATTTCATAACCACATGTTCTCCGAGACCAAATTCAACTTCACCATCTTTTCGACGACCCTGATAAATGTCTAGCTGAGCACAATACCCAAGACGAAGGGCTAAAACCCAGGCTTTAAACCCAAAACGAATGGGTTTGCCACGGATGAATTGCTTGCATCCGTGGCGACCAAAGTATGGAATCATCGATTCATCTACAGAGAGAGACTGCTCAATTGGCATAT